ACTTGAGGCCATACCTTGTTGGCCTCTCACTTGTTACATGGGAGAAGGGACTGACCCATCTCTCCTTTCAGGCAGTTGCAGAGAGCAATAAGGTTTGCCCTGAGCCTCCTTTTCTCCAGGCCAAACACCCCCAGCTGCTCCTCATAGGAGTGGTCTTGGTTATTGTGTTAACCAAGAGTTGACACAGATTTATAGAGACTTTGGATCCAAGCATCGCTCTGCCATGTACAATACATGGCTCCAAGCATTTGTGCAGTAAAAAATCTTTATGCTGTGCCTTATGCTGCAGGTGAAGTGAATTTCAAGTAGTGTCTGAGCACAGGTTTGAAAAGTTCCTCAGAGCTGTGTTCTCAGAATTACCCACTTTTAACTCCCATAATTTAGAAAGCAGTTCCTCTAAACACCAAAAAGCCTCCTGAACAAAGATCCATTAAGCTTGGCAGACCCTTCTGGCTTATGTTTCTCTAAAAGTGTGCTTGCAAGGACTGAGATGATGTCAATGTGGTAATGGCCTTTCCTATTTCAACCAGCACTCAGACAGGACTGCAGAAGTGATGTTAATATTGTGTCTGCTTCATTAGTTCACCTACTGGCAGTTGCCTTGCTGAGATCACTGTTTTTTCCCTTTCTGTATTTATAGCTTTGTGTGCAGCTTTCAGCATTCAGATTATCAGAGTCCAAATCACCACATTTTGTAGTTCATCAAGACCTTGTTTTGCTAATCATGAAAAAATAGTCTCAAGCAACAGGGCGGGAGGGAAACTTTATTTTTCCCTTTCTCTTCATAAATTTGTGTATGTGGTTCAAGTATTTAGACACACATACAGTAGCTTACAAAATAACTAGTGTAAATGTTGTCATTTCCAGCATGAAGCTGCTATCATGTAAGATCTTTAGAAATGTTTAAAGCCCAAACAGGCTCAACTTATTATTAGCTTGAGAGGTAACACAGGACAGGAGAATAGCTGTTTACAGATGGAAATGCTGTTTACATGGAGCCTATGCCTGGGTTTAGGACTGGTGACCAAGTTCTCTTCATCCTTCCTCCACATTGACACCAGCGGGTGCTTGGCAGACAGAGCTTAATCTGCTGGTTATTCTTGAATATCTGCTGTTTTAAAGCATTCAAGCTTTTTATTCAGGAGACAAGTGATCTCGCATTAATATCAACCGCTGCCATTTAAGAGAAAGTCTGATTTTTAAAGCTGAAGATGAAGCTTGCAATCAAAGTGAGGAGCTCTTAAATCTTGGATGCCTGCAAGTAAATGAAGAAAGACATACATTTCCTATTAAAAGGAATGGAATGATATAACTCTTGGCTGAGAGGCATTAACTGCTGTCAGCATTATTTCTGTGTGCTAGGGCCAGGGCTAAATGCACAGGGCATGTCTGTGCTCCAGAATGAGCCAGTGAGGGCTTCAGCTGAGTGCCAGCTCAGCATGCCCAGTCCAGTTCTGGATGGGGTTCTGGATGATCTGGATGATGACTGGCCGTGCTAATGGATGGCTCCTGGGCCACTATGGCATTGCCATGCCTGCACCCAGCCCTCATGTCATGCTGGGCATGGCTCAGAGGCACCTGGGGCACTGGCAAGTCTCTGCATGAAGGCCCATCATGAGACAAAGAAATCTACTAGAGGATTCCTTTTCCATTTTTTTTTTGATGAAGGGTTATTTCTTGTATCTTGTTGCTTTTAAGAGAGGGCTTTGGCTTAAGCACAGGAATGTATATTTCCCCAAATGCTTGTCTTTTGTTGAGTAGTTTCCCTTTTTCATACCTCCTTTATAAGATGCTTGGATCCATTTTTGTGTGGTCAGCAAATAATTCCCACCAGCTGAAAAGGAAGAAAATTTCAAATGTCAACTCCTATTTGACTGACTTGGCTGATTGTTGGACAATACAAAATTGTTCTGTCAATGTGAAGCAGGTTCTTGGACAAGAAGACATGGATAGGAATTCAGGAAAATTCAGTTGTACAAAAGATTTTGTGTGTAATGTTCAAGATTAGATTAAAACAATAGCATATTGTGAGGGTGGTGTACTGTAAGACAAGTAATGCCAAAAAAGATGCCTAAAGCAGATGGGATTGATCACCTTCTGATTTTACTTCTTGTTCCTCATCAGTGGTCCAGAAGAATTAAACAACTACCTTACACTGAGTACTAAATCATCATTAGGTTACCTGAAACCAGCATTTTGGGCCATTTGAGACCCTTGAGGGCATGTGAGACCCCTGCATGAGGCTGGTGGATATGAGTGCCCCACTGAGCAATGGCTGGAAGGCAGGCAGGAGCACAGGGGCACATCACATGGCACAAGATAGTGGTGATGGGCAGTGACACTCACTCAGCCTCGAGGGTGGGGTGCAGCTGCCGATTCAGACACCTGCTTTTAGTATTGACTACATGAGGTGGGCGTCCAAACTCTCACTGTAGTCAGGGCAGACCTAATCCCTGTAATCAATGGAGCCTAGAGAGAGATTCAGGTGGGCACATACAGATAGCTACTTACAGGAAACATGAATTAGTCTCTGGTCTCCATTGGCTCAGGTAAGATTTGGTTGTCTACTCATGACACGTAGTGCTACATGAGATGATTTGCTGTATCACGATACCCATATAGGGTGGGTAGATTGGAGCTTGACCTAAGACCTTCTGGAGACTAAGATGAAGGATAGGCAGGATACCCTGGGACATACCAAATACCTGCACCATGTGAATCAAGTCTCCAGATCTCAGTGGGTGTGGAGGAATTTTGACACACAGCTCACATGTGCACCTATGTGGCAGACATCCTGATAAAGCTGTCTCAATCTACAACTCCTCTCACTTCCAACTTTCAGATGGAAAAAAAATAAATGTATTAATTTAAAAATAGGTCTTTACCCTTAACACCTCATGTTAGTTCACAAGATCCCCTGAATTCCTAACTTCTTATACATTTAAGGACTTTGAGGAGGAAGAGACTCATTACGTTATCAGCTAGGTCTTGCCTTGGGAGTTAGCTGCAACTCAGGATACACTTACAAACTCAGTGCTCACATAACTGGAGAACACTCATCTGCTGGTTTTCTCAATCAAGAGTCTGCAAAGTTTAGAAATTCCATCAAGTGCCTGATCTCTTGCATAACACAGGACATATTATAAGTTTTGGTCACCAACTGAAGCCAAAACATTTAAATCTGTGACTTCCAGGACTAAGGTATGACTTCTGTGGAAAAACATGAGCCCTGAGTTTAAAATTTCCTTTGATAAAGAATTCTCCACAGCACTTGGTGACCTAATCTGTTGCTTAACCCTTTCACATTAAATCTTTCTACTCTGGGTGTGTGCCAAATGCCAGCTTATAGACATTGGATCATATTGTAGGTTTGCCCGTGATAGTAGCTAACACTTTGTTGTTCCAATACCTGCATGAGGCACTCAGCATTTTTATGTTTGTTCAATCACTTTGGCTTCATTTGCTTTTGGCTGCAAGTATTTATTTACCCACACGTGGCCTTAATAATTGTTTTCCTTAGCATTCCCTGCTTTTATGTAAAACCAATAGTCTTTGTTGTTAGATATTTACTCTCTCAGTGATGTACTGTCCTCATTAGTTGCTACTGTCCATATATTTATGCTATCAACTTTATTAAAGAATTCTTTTTCCATGTCATTGTCAAAAAAGTTAAATAACATGAAGTCTCAGGGGATCTGGTGTGAGGATGTTTCCCTGGTTACCCTTGGATCTGAAATTTGTCATTGCGAGCAGTTAACCCTTGTCCAACCATATACTCTTCTGTTTTTCCCATTTTTTGAGCCTGTGAGTGAAAGTGCCACATATAAGGCCATTCTGGTGCTTTCTGGGAATCTCTTGGATGAGCATTACACCTTTATCAACTATCACTATCATCAATAAAAGCTAGCAAGTTACATCTTGTCACAATATTTTATGTACCAGTATCCTGAGGGAAGGAATCCCTTCTCTATCCAGCGGCTTTTCCTTTTCAATAAGGACAGTCTCGTTCCTTGTCTTCAGGAGGAAGGACACACAGAAGACAGCAGTGGCCCAACACCTTGTCACGCACAAGCTGAATTGGGTGACAGTGGAGAGCTTCATCCTCACAGGGCTTTGCCGGGGCTGCTTGCCCTTCCTGCTTCCCAAGGAGTGCTGCGGAAACAGGGCTCAGCAGCTCAGGGGACACACACCCTGCCCATGGGAGCTGGGCTGGGGGCGCTGCCACAGCTCACTCAGCCCCAATGCTGCTGCGCTGTCCCCTCCTGTCAGGGGGACAATCACAGCAAACACCCACCCACCTGCTGTACACTGGCTAATTACTGCTCAAGCTGTCCTTTGGAAATGCAGAGCATTGTGAAGGCACGAGGTGTTGTCAACAGTAAATCAGTGTTAGTCCCCCGTTCTGCTTCAATTTACAGCTCTGTGCTAGAAGGTGTGAAAAAGAGCATCACAAGAGGGGCGGGACTCCAGGCGTACGCTCTAACTTTAGCAGCACTTTGGACATGCAGTTTGAATAATTGCAGGATTATGGAAGATGTGGGACTGAACACATATATAATATAATATAATAATTCACATTATTATACTACCTCCCTGCACTGCTTCAGCTCACAGACAGCAAAATCACTGAAGTTGAGGGAATGGTATCAAGCTTAATTTGACAGAGAGCATTGGTTAAAATAACAGTAATGTACCATATGCAGTAAATTACCAGACCTGGGAGGAGGAAGGGAAAAATCAAAGGTATATATATTTATTGTTAGTGCAATTGATTATGGCATGCATAAAATTAATAATTCAGTTTAAAATCCTGAAAATGTATTTTTGGTTCTGTGAGCCATCTAGGCAACTGGATTTTTAACAAATCATAGATAGTATCAGAATGCAGTGCTGTTACAGTCATCTGCTTGTGCTCACATGGTTTTGTCATAAGGCTCGTGCTATTTTGTGAATTCTCGCTGGATCATCAGGGAATATCACTATCTTCAGCTTCTGTTTACTGCAGCTTCTGAATATTGTAAATTTTACAGGCTTAAAAGAATGATGCCAGAGGCTCTCAGAGTCTGGACTTGGTTAAAATTTGTGGTGCAGAGAAAAGAGAAAGGAGGTGGAGTGGAAATGAAGATCTCCATCTGAGGTAAATTAAGAGAGTGCTACTCCAACCTATGGCAGCTCAAGACCACTTTAAGGAAAAAGCATATGCTGAGAGCTCATGGAGGTTAGCTCAGAGGGCCCCTGCTGAGTAGCCAGCCAGGTGGTATTTTAATCCTTTTGTTTTGTTTAGCTGAGAAACCTGAATTAAGTTCATGGTTGCATTCTGGTTTTGTTTCTTCCTCTCTACTGTACTGATAGTGCAGTGGCAAGAAAAAGAAGTCTCTTTGTAAACCAGCTACTTGCTTTTTCCAGATAAAAGTTTAGATATCCCATTTGAGGTGGGGTAAAGTAAGAGAGGGTGGTTCTGAGGCTGGTGATTTATTTCCTGACTTTAGAAGGAAAGAATTAATTGGCAAAGTTTTCTGGAATTTCAACTATTGCAAACCCTGGGATATCCTTACCTAGATTTTGGATTTCAGTCTCTATGTACTTTAAGGAAAAAACTTTAAAATGTTAAAGTGGTCTGTGACCCCATATTCTGCCCTTCTCCTGGCTTCTTTCAAGTACTTTCACAATAAACTTCATGTTATGAAGGGCAACTCAAATTTTCCAATATTTTAAGACAGTTTAGAGAAATGTCTCAGTTCTGGTATCACAGAATGTCAGCCTTCACCTTCCAAATATGTGTGCTGGGGGCTTAGGTGGTTACACCTTGGGAAGTATTTGGTACTTTATGAATTTTGTGCATTTCTTGAGCAGCTGTGCACTTCATCTCCTGTGCCACCATGAGGAACAGTCTCTTCAGACAACTAGCCTCAACAAGTATGCCAAGGTGAGCTTGCTAGTCAGCATTCACAAACTCTTTCCTTATTAAGGATGAGGCCAGATTTAGTCCATCATCCCAGGGGATGCAGACTCAGGAAGGCTACTGACCATTTTCAGCAATTGCAGTAAGTATTTTCTTGAGGTCAGCAAATGCTTGTCTGAAAATGAGTTTTAGGATTACAGCTGGAATGCTTCAAATGGGATTGAAAAAATGCATGGTTCTGTTTCCCTAGGCTTCCTAAGGTGTTATCCCAGCGAATATGACAACTGAACCTGGAGTGATTTGTTGAGCCAGGATCTCAAAGTGCCTCTGAGCTTGTAGAGCATTCAGCTGGGCATCTGTTTTTGGGGTAATTTACTGTCAGGATTACTTCCCACAGGTTTGTTGTACCTAAATCCTGATGCTGGTTTCAGCAGTCAGAAAAAGCCACCTTTTCCTGAGTTATTTTACTGGCATTGCACAGACTTACAGAACAGAGCTTCATTTTACTTTTCTTTTTTCTTTTTTTTAAAGAAAAATTTTTCTCTTCTTTTTTTTTTCCTTTTTACTCTTCAAATACCCTATTAGGTGTTTCTAAATGTAGTGCTTTTATACATCATCGTGGATTTATTAACAACTGTGTGCATCTGGCCTAAATTAGACCACCTATGAAGGTCGCCTACAAAATCTAGATATTACCAGAGGAAACAGTGGAAAAGGCAGTTTACTACCAAGAAGAGAAACATTTTAAAGCCAGCCCACCAGCAAAGAGACCCTGGCAGTCCATAAAGAACTTTTCAATAGAAAGTGGAAAGTGCATGTGAAGGACAGATATTGATCCTAATTCCTCCAAAAGTGATTAGCTGTGATGACCTTGGGGTACTTGCTGTAGCATTACAGTTGTGGGGAAGAATGATGCATAGAGAGCAAGATGCAGTTCTGAGCCCCTGTGAAGCCATTGAAGATTATGTGCTTAAATTTCACCTGCAGGAAGAGAAACCCACTAGGAAACCAAAACATTTCAAGAAATTTTTGGAGAGCATTGATAGCCTAGAACTCTGCTAGAAGTAGCAGGCTGTAACAAAAGTAAAACTTTGTGGCTTGTAGTGAGTTTGACCCACATAATAATCCAAAAAATAAAGGAAATGAAAGTGAAGATGCATACAATTAAAGTACTTCCTATTTCCTCTCTGCAGAGCTGAGAAGTATTGATGCCTACCTCACACACCAGAGCAGAAGGACCCCATGCTGTCCTGTATAAACACTGCCAGTCCAAGTCTGATTTTATGGAGTCCAGGTTTGGCTCAAGAAATTAAGGCTGCTTGCAGCCCTATGCACTCACCCTTGGCTTCATCACCATTGCACAAAGATAAGTGGGAATAATAACTCTTACAAACAGGGTTTATCTCTCCATTACTGAAAGAAAAAGGAGTGTATTATATTGTGGCAACCTGAGAACAGGAACTGAGCATAGAGTGCCAGTGTTTTTTGCAGACTGCTGTTAGAGATCCTGTTACATGGCTGGTATTCTTTCAGCTAAACCATCACAGAGGATCTCGTGCTTGGTGCTCAGCTGTTGCTATTTGCTTTTAAGACTATTTAGGTGGCAAAATATTTGGAATAAGATTTGAGGTTGGTGCATTCTTCCGCCCTGCCGGATGAACAGAGTGGTCCAGCAGCCTTGATGGGAAGCACACGAAATGTGAGGTCTTTCCTGGATCCTCTTTGTTCTCAGGATGTCTGGATGGGTGCCTCATCCTACAGACTCAGGTGATTATGGTACTCTTGGGTACTCCATTAGGTCCTCTGCTAAACCCTCAGGACAGCAGCCAAGAGGCAGCAGTCTCTGACATGAGTTTAAAGGTGAGCAGGGGCTGTAGGTCATTAGCATCACCCTTTTTGGGTAGTCCTGCTTGCCATTTGTGTGAATACTTGGTCTCTCTCACTTTGGGGCTTTGGCACAGATGAGGGAACAGCAGTGAAAGACCAACTTAAGCTGCTTCAGAAGAAGGTGTAAGAAACCCTGTTAGGACAAATTGACTGTGAGAAAAGTTTATCTCTAAATTTTATGAGACAGTAGTTTGTTTATACCAACTCTTTGATTGGTCAAAGGCATATCTCAAGCCTACAAGGTTAATGAGTTAATGTGGTGGAGACATGTTGGCACCTGAAGAGTGTTTCCATCTTGTCCATCCTCTTTGGACTGTCAAGTCCAGGCTCTGTGGCACAGCTACAAACCAAGATGAAGGACTGAGTTTATGCCCCTGGGTCAAGGACAGGAGCCATTCAGACATGAAAACAAATTAATTACATAGACTGGCTCATTGCCTTATGCTGGTGCACTGTCCTGAACAAGAGGCACTTCACCTTGTGCTCCTCCAAAGCACCAAATCCCTCTGGTAAAGCAGGCATCATGTAGGTGGGCTCTGAGTCCTTTCCTCACAGAGTGGTCTTTATCTCTGCTTCAGACAGAATGGCAGATGCCTGCTTGCCATAAACAGTGGATGATACAGAGGCAGCTGGGTCAGTGACAGTGCTGGAAGGGCATTCATGTTACCTGTTCTGCTCTGGGGGATACTGGTGCTTAGGGGTGAATGTGACATATGGAAGAGCCAAGTGCTTACATTTCAGTAGATAACCATGCTGTGGCTGCACTTGCCATTTTCTAGCACCCACCTGTATTTCATTTCATCCCTGGTTTGGGTTTCTTGAAGACAGAGGGTGAAGGGTGAAATGGTCTTGTTTCTCTGAGACCAAATATGAGTAAACTGCACAGGTGAGCCTGTGGAGACAGCCCTAGGAAGAAGGAAAGAGGTGAGTTTCCACACCCCTGGAGCAACAGGAAACTCCTTACACTGAATCACTTGGCAAGGGAGTCTGCAGAGTGGAACTCTGTCTGGGGAAAGGCACAAAATCACTCCATAGTTCTCCATCTCCTGTTTCCCTGCTCATAGCAGCTCCCATCTTGTGCTGGTTTTGCATTAACTGGTTTGCAGTGAAGAGGGAAAAAGTCAGCCACAGAAGTGGCTTAAGTCTTACAGAGAGTGTAGAGAAACTGGAGGCAAGCAGGGAAGATATGGATAGGAGCACATCACTGATGTGATCTGTTAAGAAAGGTGAAGCATCCTAAGGTCACTCACTGACTCTGTCACTTCTTTATATCCATGGCACCTGTGAGAATATCTTGAGGAATGGACCAAGTAAAACCCACCAGTGCCAATGTCATCTGGTTTAGGCAAGGTCCCAATGCAGATGACCCCTGCTAAATTTGGATAAAAGTACCTCTAGACTGAAGGAAAAAAATCAATCTGCAGTCCTATTCTGCAGTCATTCAGCCCTTCAGGGCTTGGGGAGCAAGAAGCTGATCTCCACCTGTGGATGGCTCTTGTGAGGATAATGCAGATAGTCCTGGACTGCACTGTTGCCTGTGGCTGATGGTGACTGGCACCTGCTCTGAGCTCAGTTTGCTGTGAGATACCACAGGAAAATTTGTGCTTTCTGCTCAATACCACCTGGGTTCACAGTGGAGAAGGAGATCCAGCACTGACGCTATTGTGGAGCAGACATAAGGAATCAAGGACCAACAGCTAAGGAGAGGGAAACCAAAGTAAATAAAGTCACTAGTGCCTGGGAAAGAGGTAGCAGCCACACTGGGGGTCAGCATGTGCTGGAGGAAGATTTTTTAAGTAGTGTGAAGGCAATGCCTGATTTTACCAGGCAGTTTGCCTACAGTAGACCCAACTCTCCTGGACAGGGTACTAGAGGTGTAAACAGAGAGGTTCTGCTACATGGAACATTGAGGGATTTTGTTAGGGTGCAGGATGGTCATGTCTGTCCAAGCTAGTTACATTAGTTTTGATGAGTGTTACTGCTTCTTGACCAAACCCGCATGCATATGTGATGAACTTTGAAGGAAACCATTGTTTTCTTGTAGAAACAGGACTAACTTGTCCTTCAAATATTTATCTCATTCCTGCACGGATTCTGACTTGATTGCCTGCTGTAACCAGTGAGGGCTAGGCAGGTACTCTAAACATCCCACTTTTGAAGATATAATTCAGCTAGCTGTGGTGGAGAATTATTTCTGAGCTCTGCCCAGCTCCTGAGGGGCTCAGGTGTAGCAGGACAAGGAAACAGACATCTTTCCTAGCTTGTGTGCCAGTAGTTTGGACCTGGAGCCCCAAAACTGCTGTGTGTGAGGGAGGAGGCAGTTGTTGTCCTCACCAACTGCTTGGAAGAAGCAGAAAGGGTGTTATTTTTGCTGCTTCAAGTTTGTGAACTCTGAGTTCTATCAACCCTTAGGTACTTTTTGAACTGTTGTCCTCCTAAACTCCCACAGCAGAACACACACTGCCTGTTACCATCAGCTTCAGGCAAAATGAAGTTTCCTTGTGGGCAGGAAGAATATGCCTGATTTTAGGTGTTTCAGATATTTTACTGGCCTACACCAGATTTTTTCACCAGTGAAGGTGTTTTTTCATGGTAAACGTAGGAAACAATTCTTATTCAAGATCTTGGGCATCTCCCAGATTGGGTGTATGAAGTTATTCACAGAAGTACACAGCAAAATCTTTGCTTAATTGGTGGAATAACTCCCCAGTCTATTGTCAATGCTGCTTTTGCCCTTGGTTTATAACTCCCAGTATTCTGAGATGTAGGGTGCCAGCTCAGAATCAGTTTGGGTATCTAGATTTTCTCCAACAAAGGATCCCCAAAATCCTGTTACACCACTCAGGTCACACCAACAGCTCCATCTACATTCATGATCTGATTTCTGTCTAGCAATTGCTTCAGAGGTTTGCTACTGTGAGACTATGCTAGAAGTGATCCAGAGGAGCAGTACAGGGCATACTGGAGAAGCCACAGATGCCTGTACTTCCCATTGCAGGCAGAAGAAAAATTCCTCTTCTGCCCTTGCTACTGAGGTTCCCAGAGCATGAGTAGTGCATTCTCTTGCCAGGTAAGTAACTTTAGCTACTTGATATAAAGTGCATTTATTATTTTTTAAAGGACTAAACCAAAAATAAAAAGCATTGCTAATTGCTTCCCAGATGTTGCTATTTGCATTTGCAACACTGGGAGAACTGATGCTGAGGGTCTCAGATGTGAAGCTGTTCTTCTGAGGGCCCATCTGACCCTGCTCCCCACATTTCTCCTGCCTTCCTGCAGGCTGCAGCAGCATCTGCTGCTGCATGGAGCAATCCCTGATGTTGAGTTTTTAGGTGCAGGACAGCTAATTTGGCTTAAACTTTGTCTACAATTTTTGTGAATAATCTGGTGTGTCGTGTGTCCCACGCCACCGAGCAATCACCTCACTACGTCTGTGTTGAGGCCAGTTACTTACAATTTGATAAAGCACACCTTGTGCATTTTGACTCCCTTTTAATTCTTCTGAGCAGAGATTTCCAGGTTTTATGTCTTTTCATGTCCTGCTAAGCACAATAGCCAGCTGAGACCACCATTTTTTCTTGGCAAGGGTCCTTACCCATTCCAGTCAGAGCTACCTCTCCATTTTCTTCTTGATAGATTGTGCAGCACAAGACACATAATTCTCCTTGCAGGAATTTCTCCTTACCCTCACATTGTTTATGTTAGTACTTTTTTGCCACCTCTACAATTTTTTTCAAAAGCCCTTTAAAAATGATGACATTTAGCTCAAATACAGTTTTAAGGTACTTAACAAATCTGTATGAAGAGGTAAAATCACCTTCCTTGTTGTAATCACCATTCTCTTGTTTAAATATCCAAAGGTCATTTAACCAGTCTTGCTACATGGTTTGGAGAGGTGCTTCACTTTTCTGGTCCTAAATGCTCTGAATCACCTGAGCTTTGCTCAGTATTCTGGCAGATACAAATCAGGCCTTGTTAAAGCATATTTTGTTTGAATGAGTCCTAATTGCTTTGTATAATGGTCTCATTTATTTATTATTCTGGTTGTGTTGGACCACCCACATGTCATATCAGCAGTGCCTTTATGGTTCGTTCCAGACAGCTGATGGCCCTGCTGGGGCACTAGCTGAACATCCATCCTGCTTTCCTGGTGGTGTCTGCTAGCTCTTTGCAGACCTGGATAAAGCCATTGAGGTTACCAGCAGAGCTGTCTGACTAAAGAATCTCCCCACAATAATTGAGATGCTTACACCCTTTGGGAAGGGGTGTGCAAAGCTTTCTAGCTCCCCAAAGCTTTTCCATTCCAACACCAAACCTTCTTGCTTCAAAAAACCAAAACCCTTCCCCATGCTGTGTTTTCACCCCAGAAATATTGTGTGTTGATGGTTTTTATTGATTTCAAGTGAAATATGGTCAGAAGAGGCACAGATGTCTGCAGATGAAAGCTCCAAATATGAAGAGGGAAAATCTGACCTAAGTTTTGAGAAGAAATGCACTTGTCCCTGCTGTTTCACCCACTGTTGTGTTTATCAGAGTGGAGCATGCCCAGAGCCTGTGGGAAAGCCCCTGGCAGCCCCAGGCAGCACCAGCACGGGTGCAGGAGCTGTGGCTGGCTTCTTGGCAGAAACATGGCAGAAACATGGCATGCAGAGAACTTCTCACA